CATTCATTTGAGACAGAGTTTCACTATGTAGCCCAGGTAGGCTCAAACTCTCTACCCTCCTGACTCGGCCTCCCCTGATGCTAAGATTTCAGGCAGGCATCACCATGCTCAACAATCAATACTTACTGATGTGATCATTTAATTAACATTAATCTGCCTTACTCTGTAAATTCTATGTTAGAGCCATGTGTTTATTTCAACACTGGAGTTATAGTTCTTAGTACTGACACAGAGTAGTCTGTCAGTATTATTCTAGATAGATAGATAGATAACAAAAATTTTTCCCTTAAAATTCTTCTAAACAATTAAGTGTTAAATCTCAACTTTATGGAAGGCTATATGGTCTTTTGGGGTGTTTGCAGACAGCAGTATCATTTTTCCCTGACTGATAGCTGCCTGTCTATTTCTCTGAGCAGGGATCCCTGGATGGTATGGATCTACACTAGGGAATGGAAAGATGTCTTTTACTCTCCTCTATTCTCCTCCTGCTGTGAGAAATCTATGCTATTCCATGATCCAGTCTTAGTGAACATAACAGATGGGCTTATTCCAAAGAATGAAAAACGGTTCCCATTTCAAATCCATTTCCTGCCTCCTTAGGTAAAACAAAACTTTCCCCGAGGAAATGATGTAGATGTGCCTTGATATTCTTAAAAGATTCTATGCAGCACAGAATATTGCTGTGAACTAAACCATACTTCTTTTCATTCACATTTGAAAAGAAACATGAATGAGGTAGTAGGGAAAAAATGCAGAGAAGAGTTAAGAAATGCTTCATTGTAGCTTCCTTCTCTAAGCTTCAATTTCTTTCTCTGTAAAATGGGGTTGTAAAAAGAAATATGTGCTCTACCTATCTTATTATAGAACTGTGAAAGATCCAATGAATTAATATTTATGGAACTCTGGAAATACTACAAAGGATGAATACTGTTGTTCTTACTGGGGTCTCCTATGTCATGTTCCTTCAACAGCTTTACTTCCTGCCTTCCTTGTTTTGCCTGGTAGATTGAATGTTGATTCATTTCTTTTAATATAGACACAAGCAATCTTCTGTTACTACAAACCTAAGAAGGTTGGAGGCTACGCACTAGTAGATGATAATCTTGCTCCAAAAAATCCTTTTGGGGAAATCTACAGGATATTGAAACCCTGTCTGGTTCTCCCCCTTCCCCCCCCTCCACCCCCTCCCTGCCCCAGTCTTCTTGAGATAGATGAAGAAAGAGGTGGGAATCAAGACCTCTATGAAAACTGTAATTTCACTGCTGATATGGCTTTAAACTTTAACGGCTTTGGTATCCATCTGTAAAATGTCATTTCTGCTGGTTCCATTCTAGTAGCTTAAACAATAGAAAAAATCACACATCCACCTCTGTTAAAGTCTACAGTCCCTTTATAATGTATGGGCACTCAAGCTATACTAATTTATTCTACAATTACTTTTAGTTTTTAGCATTTTTATTTGGCTCTTATACTATATAATTAATGGTGTTTACACAGAAAGGTTGTTTAACTAATGTAAATGGCATAAGTGGATTAGTGAGCAAGGCTTAAAACAAATAAACATTTTTCTCCTTTGATTTTCCCCCTCTTCCCCCCGCAAATGTCTGGCACAGGAGAAGAGTTTTAAAAATGCCAAAGAGCTATAGAAGTCAGATTCCTGAGGGCCATTGTTTCCTGGTAGAACAGGCTGCTAATTCTGTTTCGTACAATGGCTGGCATAGGGTGGGGAGCCTAGAGTGCCCCCCATGACCCACACATCCCCAACTCAGACGCATGTGTTTTCTTTGGGAAGTTGCCACTGTTTTTCCTCATGACCTTAAATGTACCACAGTAAGTGGATGAGAGACTTAGGAGATAAACAAATATGTTCAACTCTAAAGACCAGAAAAACACCAGGGAAGAAAATCTGCCAGGCTTCTGAACGCCTCTACCACCACCATTACATCACCCAATTGTGCCAGTTACTGGTATTGCCTTTCTAGTCAAAGTCCAGATTGCATTTTGAGTGCCAGCATAGAAACAGGTTACTGTAAAATAGAGGAGGCAGGACTGCTACTACCTCTAAGGCAATATAAAGAAAAGGCTTTGGCACTAAAGGCCATTTCTTTCCCAGAAGCAAAGTCATGAGTACATGCTATACCCCCACAACCCCAGCCCAGCTCTTAGGAGGCCTATAGAGGAAAAACTGGCTCTATGTCATCTCAGAACAGAAAGTGTGTTCTCTAAGGTTCCCTTGAGTTATCTCAGGAGTTGCAGACGAGACTTTGCCCGCAGGCTTTCTTTACAATAGACTGCACAGTACACCAGCCTGAGAGTGAAACCAAAGAGATGACTGAGCTTTGGAATCTAAGCCCATGTGAATTCCCAACTAGCAGTCCAGAATACATAGATCTCTGCTCCAGTCTTATTCAGATTCCCAGGAAATAGCCTGGAATTACGCTCAGACTTACAGGAAAAAGAAGGAACAAGTGCTTATAACAAGTACCACTTAAATGAACAAAACTATACAAGACCTACTGCTATCTCAAAACTTGTCTTCATGTTCCCTTTCACATCCTTTTAAATATCCTAGAAGCTGTACACAGCCATTGAAACTCCCCCCCCCCTTGTAAACTACTTAAAGGTATTTTTAATTATATATATAAAAAATAGGTTTGCGCTAAAGATTCTAATAAATAATTTTGCCTTTGAAATTAGCTAAAGTCACTAAAAATAGGTTGGAATTCATAGGGAATGCCTGAATTCTTTGAAGAATGAGAAGTAATGGATACTTACCACAGTATTAGTTTCTAACAACATGATTGTTCTCTTTGGACTGTTCCTCTGTACAACCTAAAATCCTCATTATCAATATACAATAAACTTAAAATATTTTGCTATTCCCCTCCCCCCAAAAACTGCATTACAATTTCTTAATACTCATACTTTAGGAACTTTAACTTGGTGAAAGCACCTCATCTAAAATGTAATGAAGTTGCTGCAGGTGCTACATCTATCCATTTATGAAGTGAACACAATGTTCTCTGTGGTGACCCTTAAATAAAAGTTTACTGTTCTGTTTTTCTTATTTTAGAGACAATTATCTTTCCTAGTCAGACTGTAGACATTTTCCCAAGCAAAGAGCTTATGTCCAGCACTGGATCTAGTCCTGGATCTAGAGGTCAAACTCCTCTTCCAGGATTATGGCCCTGAACAAGGCTCTCTCAAACTAACTAGGCACAGACCACAAGAGTTTGCAGTGATTTCCAGTCACTCCACTTGATTCCTACTCTCAACTGAAACAAAATGGTTGAGATTCCAAATCTTGTGCCAGCACTGAATGACCCAAGAAATTATTGCTAATTAATATTCTGAAAGTGCATGAACTTTGACTTTTTAAAGAAATTTACCTCTAACCAATGCTAAAAAGCCTTTATTGTTGCCTTTGGGATGCTAGTCATCTTCTGTTTGTAAAATTTGGTTTCTATCAAGAAGATTTGTTTTCTATCAAGAGATGAGATTCAGAAGCTAATCTAAAATTACATTTCTAGGAAGTTTTTCTATCACTCCACAGAATGTAAGTTATGCAATTTCTATCAATGTGTTGATTATAACTAGCCTTGATTAGCATCTGTTAAATGAAGTGACTGGTTCCCATTCCCCCCCCCCCAAATAAGTCTTATCTGAGTGCATCAACTAAAAAATGACCACAGGTAGTCCATTCATTTATCAAATTCTCTCTTTTAGCTACCAGCAAATGCTGGAGTGGCAAAGTGCAAATATAAAAATTTCTACTTCTGGAAATTTCCTCCAGCAATATCACATAATCACAGAGGTTTGTTTAGGAGAGTCATTCCTAACCTGTTTTCTAAATTTGTGTCTTTTTAAAAAGTCACACATGAAGTGTACAAGGGTATGGATGAGATGGAATTCCAACTCTGCCATGTTCTAGCTGTGAGCATTTAGACAAATTATTATGCCTCCATTTCATCATTTGTCAGATGGTACCAATAATAATAGGATTATTCTCAGGAATAAATAAGCTAGTGAATGTAAAGCTTTGGGTGTGCAGTCACAAATATTAGCTCTGGGTATTGCTTTATACTTATTACCTACCCATCCTTTTCTATCTCCAATATCACCACACCTGGAATCTGGACTATTTACTTAGTTGCTTCTTAACTTCCCTGTTTGTCCCACTCTTGCCCATTCTAAACTCTTCTCCTTCCCAAAGCTGAAGGATGCTTGCAGAATAGAAAAGTGATCCATCCAAGTCCTTCCCACATAGGGACACAAAGAGATAAAGGGTAAACCCTCACGTTGCCTTTAGTACAGGCCTAAAGTCAGCCTGGCTCTGGCTTATCCTCTCCTGAATCCTGTTATTAGGTCCTTACACAGCCCCTCTGCGCTCCAGTCACCACCATCAGTTCTCCGTGCCTGCCCCTCGCTGTGCTCCCTCAGCCTGGGATGCTAAATCCTGCTTCAACTCACAAGTTCTCCCATAACCTGACTGCACGCCTGTCCTTTCACTTTTGCTTCTCCTCGAAGTGCTGAGCTGAGCAGATGCACAACAGCTGTAATAATAATTGCAAGCATTGTAAAAATACTTCCAATGTCGGAGTCGCCCACAAGGTTTAACGTTGCAATCTCCGCTCATCCTGTTCCCCGTAACCTCGCTTAGCCCAGCCCCAAAGGCAGCTGGTAAAAAATTACATTAATAACTGAAAGAAAGTTGGCGGTGTGTGTGTGTGTGTGTGTGTGTGTGTGTGTGTGTGTGTGTGTGTAACACAGCCCAGACTACCACAGTTACCTCCCAGGGTGGGAGCTCCATCGTGTTTTAAATTGCATGTGTGTGTGTGTGTGTGTGTGTGTGTGTGTGTGTGTGTGTGTGCACGCGCGCACGCGCAGTCTCGCAGTCGGGCGTGGGTTTCCACTCTGCATTGAGGACTCTACGGAGCAGGTGGCCGGCAGGGCGGCAGGCGCGGGCGGAAGTGCGGGCCGCGGGCGGAAGTGCCCGCGCGGGCGGGCGGAAGTGGGGTCGCTGGCGGCCGGCGTGAGGCTGAGGTGGGTTTGTGGGGGTTCCCAGGGCTCTGGGTCCCGCTGCGCCGCCGCCGCACGGTGCGAGTTGTCGTTAAAGAGAATTTAATTCTACCGGGAGCGGTAACTCTTTGACCCGCCCGGGGCGGGGAGGGTACGGGGTGGGGGGGGGGGGGAGCGATTCTGCGCATGCGCGGCGGGGGCCGGGGCGGGAGGGGCCAAGGCAGCTTTTTAAAAGAAGGCAGAAAACGTGTCAGCCTCGCGCGTCCCCCGGTGTTGCTCAGATTCTCCAGGCCCGCGGGTGCTTATCTCACCCGGCAGCCTGCTGGGATGCTGTTGAGCCGCCGTGTTGCCCTGTGACTGGGGGCACGGGTGGGACGGTGCAGGAGGGGCCATGGTCCGGGCTTGGGTGGGCGGCAGCAGCCTCCGAGCGCGGGACGGCGAGCGAGACCCGATCCGAGCGAGCCTGCGCAGCTCTGTGCGCATGCCCAGCCCTGCCCGGCACGCCCAGCCAACGGCAGTGCGGGTTTTCAGAGTTCCCGCCAAATCTTCCCCAACGCGAGCAGACGTGGGATTCTTTCCAAGGCTTTTTTTTTTTTTGGCCTGTTTTTGTTTTTCCTGTTTTTTAATAGAATGGGCTTATTTGGACTTCCTATTTTAGTACCCCCTTTAAAAAAAAAAAATCCACACTATGGCCTAGGATAAGCCCCAGGAATTCTGCAATATGGAGGTAGTGTCTAGAATAAGTTGCTAATGTTCCGACACTGGTAGCACCTGTTCCAGCCTGAGCTGGGCTCCTGTAACTATATGTTGCTTTGGTGCAGTAGCCACTTCGGCTTCAGGTGCCTTACACTGAGCAACTTCAGGTGGCTTTCAGGGGCCACGGTCTCTTCTTATTTAGTAATAGTTTGTGACATAGCTTATTAAAATGCACGTGAAGTTCTGTACCAGTATTTAGAACTGTATACACTGAAGTAGGTAAATAACAGAAATTGAAAACATGTGGGAAAAGAAGTATACCATGAGAAAAACTGATTACTGTAACACTGGGGCAAGCCAGAAGTAATCATGGTTTTGTATGAAATGTTGTAGCCTAATAACCTGGGTCCTGCTTTGCTGAGGAATTGCCTGGAACCAGAAGGCTTAGTTGTGAAAATTAAGATTTGTAGTTGTAGTGTGCTTTAGATAGGCCCTAGATTCCACCCCCCCCCACTTGCTGTGTGTGGTCCATTAGTAGCCACCTGCCAAGAAAAGATCAATTTTTTTTGTCTCCTTCACCAGAGGAATATGTGACTATGTAGTTTCATTTAGATGGACTATTATCAGACAAAGTAAAGGAAATGATTTTTTTCCCCCAATTTGAAAGTTTATTGGACTGTTTTGTTTCAGTTTTGTTCAGTTACCTGGCTATATCCAGAGGCACTAAGGAGAGATGACTTCAAACTAGTTTGTTGGTTTAAATTAAAAGATAGATAGATAGCTTTATATACGCTCACAGTTTAATATATTGTTACCCTAATATTAGAGTTTGGGGTTTAAAACATAGCAAGACCTTGGTACAAATAGGGCTTTTTTACATTAAAAAAATTTTAAATCTAATTTTTGCACTGCTTTATTCAAGAAGTACATGCCAGAGGAAGCCAAAAGCCAGCTGGAATAGTTCCTGAATGTAATTTTAATCTTGTTTGCAATTATTTTGATGGAGAGAAACCATCTGGATCAGGTATGTGTAGCTACTCAGGTAGCAAGTCTGAGTGAGCTTCCACTGTCCTTAACTTTTGTATCCCATAGTGGATTCTAAAAATCATTTGAGGAAGAATATGCAAAAGGAAAAGTTTTGGCCAACATCAGCATAGATATATAATTCCACGTCTCTAATTTTCCATCCCACTATACCACAGGGATCAGGAAGAATGAAGATACTGCTTTTTATTCTATTTCTTATCTCGGAATTAACTTTCCAGAGATTAGAAAATATGATTCTGAAAAGATTCAGAACATTTTTACTAGTATCTTAGTCCTTCTATAGATATAATGAAATACTGTAGGCCAGATAACTTATAAAAGAAGTTTATTTATCTCACAATTCTGATGGGTCTAAATACTATGACACTGGAATCCTAGAAAGGGTCCCTGGCTGCATCATACCATAGTGGAGAAGCAGAAAGGGAACTGGCTGTGTGGAGTGACCTTAGTTTATAACACCTACTCTGGAGAGAATGACTTTAATCAGAGAGACCCAGCATTAATCTCTTCTGAGGACAGTTAGTTCCCTATGACCTAATTGTCTTCCTCTAGGTCTCACCTTTTAAAGCTTCTAGCCATCTTATTCCATCCACATTGGGGACCAAGCATCCAAGAAATGAATCTTTGAGAAATATACTCAAACTGTATCCAATCCATAGCAGTCAGCAATATCTGGTAACACATTTTATTGCTAGTCTTTGTTCCTGGATACTGTGTCTCCAGTCTTCTCCCCAAATTGTGAGGCCCTTAATGGTAGGGACAGTGTATGAATCACTTTTGTATTTCTGGCACTTTGCACGTTGTAAGCACTTAGTGCACTTTGTAGAAATGAAAGGCACAAGGCTCATGCCTACAGTTCTATCCCTTGGAAGGCTAAGACCAGGAGGATCACGGTTCAGGGTTGGCCTGGGCAGTTTGTGAGACACTTCTCAACCTATAAAAATAAAAGCAGGGCCCAGTGTCCCAGCGACACCAGAAGTATAGGTAGAAGGATCACAGTCCAGGCTGGCCTTAGCAAAAAGTGAAGCCCTATTTGAAAAATAACAGTGGCAAACCAGGCTAAGGGTACGATTTGGATAGAATGCCTACCTAACAATTTTAAGTCCTAAGTTCAACTCCCAATAGGGCCAAATGAAAGAAAAATTGAAAAAGCAGTACTCTGAATGGAGACTGACTCTAGTGAAAATAGCACCAGGAATGCCCCAAGATAAAGAAAAGAATATAAAATAACAATCACCTTTTAGGTGTTTCTAGATACAGTTAGAAGTAAACCTTTGCTTACCAGGGAATATTTGAAAGTCCATAGATAAGTCACTGAACTGCCTTTCGAGGAGATCAGGCGTGATTGCTTAAAGGGTCTTTGTTGAATCGAGTTGAATGTGCAAGCTGAAAGGTCCTAACCGCCCTGACCCATCACCTGCCTCCAGCCCCATCATGCTCAGCTCCTCACCCCGACACCTGTTTGGCAAACATTCAGAGAGAATCCATGCCCTAAATTACTTAAAGCACCTGAATCTTGGTTTGGTCCTATTTCAAGTAGGATCTGTGTCTAGCCACTGTTTTAAGTGGGTTTCTCAAATAATATTGAAGAAAAGCTTCACTTGTTTTTTTTTTTTCTGCGTTAATACAGCATTCCAAAGGAGTTCAGAGTAGACAGCATTTTATGTTGTGACAGGGAAGTCAGGGGCATATGCTGTTTCTTTGTCAGTGGGACTGCAGCAGAAACCAGAATGTGACAATTATAAACAAATAAGCTTCCTTTTATTGTTCCAGAGCTTTTACAAATTAATAATGAAATATAGGGGAAATGATTTCTAGTTTACTTAGGCAGGAAGGACATGACATTGAATTATTTGATTTTTTAAAAAAATTCTTACTACATAAAGTCCTTCCAGTTAGCCAAGAAAAAGGATACCATTGTTTAATAGAAATTCAGTCAGCTGTGGCAATTTGAGACATATGCCTGGAAAAAAGAGAGCTAAATTCAGCTGTCTTTGGGTTCAAAAAGTGAAATTAATGTGAATCTTAAGAGATAAGAAACTCATTTTGTGTTAAAAGAATTTTTCCATCTGAAACTTACTCTTTCCTTTTTCTCTCCAGCCTTAAAATAATTCTTAAGCAAAACATGTTGTCTTTATATTGGGTATATATTGGGTATACTCTGAGAATTAATATGAAAAACTTTGTGAGATTTGGGGAGGAGTTGAAGAAAAGTTATTGAAGTTAAAGATGTCTTCTAGTACTGAAATTCCATGTTAGTCTCATTGTATACAGTACACAAATACTGTATAGAGATACTTGAAAATATATAGAAATGAACAAAGACTATGATATGAAGACTTGGTTAAACATTACTTTCCTTATCCAAAGTCAAAATATTCCATATTTGGTAGCTGTTAAAGAACAGAGCAGAACTCAGAAGACTATAGAACTCAGAGTTGCGAGGGCCTGACCTCAAGAGTAGATGGTTCCTTATGTTCAAATTGAGCATTGTGCTTCTGCAGATGTATGTCCTGTTGATGTCATAAATCCAGTGGAATGTTGGATCTGCAACTGAGTGTCTAAAGCCATTTGCTCCCAAATAGCTGGAAATTAATGGAAGTCTTTCAGGTCTTTTGGTTATGAAGATAAACTCACTTCTCTGGCAAGATAAGTTGGAAATGGGCAGCCTTACTGACAAATTGAAAACATTGCCTGGGCACATGGGTTTTAAATTGCTATTGCTTTTAGAAATGGGCTTGGGTGCTTTTTAAATAGCAACGAAACTGGGATTGCTAGCTAGGTACAATAAGACTAAGGTGTTTTAATGAAATTGCCTTCTTTCTGAGTATTAACTCTCAGTGATGCCTTCAAAGGGAATAGGTCACAGTGGTTAAGAAGGATAATGTGAGAGCCAGGAGTGTGGTTCAAATAATAGAGCAGCTGCCTTGAAAACATAGTCCCTGTACTTGGGGAAGGGGAGGGGATGCTGCATGATTCCTTGTGTACTTTCTCCCATTCCTTGAACCAGATGATTTTGCCTTTATCTTAATGCTGTCTTTATGGAATGAAAGAATTTTCAAATTGGTTTTTAAACTCTATTAAGCCCTCCTGTATGATATAACCTAACCATATTATTCAGGCTTTTTGGCTTTCAGGAACAGCTTTACAGCCATTATGTCATAATTGAACTGAACATTGTTGTACACTCTGAATTTGGAATATGCCTCTCTGGCGCTAGGCCAGCTGCTGAGTCAGTGTCTTCGGGGTTGAGGATGGAGGGAAGGAGTGAGTAGATGGAGACCCCATTGTGTTAAGTGGAATTGGCTCAGAATTCCCTTTGGACTCTCGTGTACTGAAGGGAATGTGTTCTGTGAATGTGTTGCTGTTCTTTATTAACATCATTTTGTTTTTTCAGCTGAATCTTTTCCTGGAAACCTTTCCTGACATTGTCATGTGTGCCAACCCCATTACAGAGTAGACTCCTCTGAAGTAATGATCTGGAAAGAGTGACAGCTAAGGGCTAAAAACTCTAAAACAAACCCTTGCTTATTCTGGAATTTCTCTCTACTACTTCACATTTGTCAGCTTGCTACAGGCCAAGGCAAAGCAGCTGTGCTCGGAATATGGAAGAGAATGCTAAGGCAAAGAGAATCTTTAAATTCATATGATAATAAGAGAACAATGCATTGTTCTTCCTTTGGGGAGGAGCTTTTTCATCTCAGATATTTTTAGGAAGTAAAGTGACCAACCACTCTGTCACCCCGTCCTCCCACCCCCCCCATCTATCACCCCCTTTCCCCCATTTCCCACCCAGTGGGAAAGTGACACAAAGCTTTCCTACTTAGGATTGAAATGTGAGAGAAAGTACATTTATACTTCTACCTGGATCTGTAAGTGAATTGGGATTCTCTTTACAGGGCCAGGTATTTTAGGCTTCATATTCTTGTTCAAGGTCTTAGCCAGTCATAGCTATTCCCATGTGAGTACTCCTTCTTAGACCAGGAGGACATTTGGTGCTCAAAGCCAGGAGCAGGAAAAAAAGAGCAGGACAAGTAGTAGAATTTCCATTTCACATTGACAAAATGTTGGCTCAACGAGACAAGGATTTGCCCAATCTCAGAACAAGTTAGTAGAAGTTGCTTTTCCTTTGGGATGTATATTTATAAAATCCTCATCTAAAATAGTCATTCAAGAAATTCAAACATGCAGAATTACAACTGGAGCCCTACCTGAAGAGTAACTTTAAGTTCTAATGAAGAATTGTGCTTAATTCCTCTGACTGGTGGGAGCTGTGTTCATTTAAGTTACTTTGATTTCTCTGGACAGTTTATTCAGAATTTCTTGAAATGACTTTTGTTTTTACAAGTTACATGTAAGGGTTGGAGTTGTGGCTTAGTGGTACAGTTCACAAGGCTCTGGGTTCAGTCTTCAACATTCTTTCTCTCTCTCTCTCTCTCTCTCTCTCACACACACACACACACACACGCACACACACTGAAATAGACTGTCAATAAAGTCCAACTTTACCATTAGTTAAACAGCTTTTGTTTTGACATATATAAATTGAATATATCATTGTTAAAGTAGTAATTACTCTAAATTTACTTTGAAAAATAAAAGCAAGCACTGGAAAAGAGCAACTGGAAGGGAACTGTCCTTTGTTTAAAACCTATCAAGAGGAAACTTAGAATCCTCCCAAAATGCAATTGCAGTGTGCTATTTTGTGATTCTTAAACTAAGCCAATACCTTGTGCCAGTATATTTGCTGGTTAGCAACTTCCTTAGTGGAAGGTAAATATGTTGATCAGTGATCTCATGTCTTGGAAATTACTATTTAAGAAATGTTCACCAGGGGTTGGAGGCATGGCTCAGTTGCTAGAGGGCCAGGCAGTGGGTGAAGTGTCAGGTACCAAGTTCAAGTCTCAGTCTTAGGCAAAAAGAAAGGAAACATGTTCACAAGCTAGTATTTCTATTTGAAGGATTTTTTAGTTTTTCATTTCCCCATTTCTAAGATTGCTACACTAAAGACAAGTCATCCATTTGGGGCCAATAAAAGCCCATTTTCATCAATAAAATTAGTAGTAGCAATTGTAGTACTGTAGTAGTATTGGTAAATATTTAAGCCTTGCTCCTCTATTCTACTTTATACAGATTGTTTTTTTTTTTACATTTATTACTCTTTTAGGCTAGACAACTTGCCTTTCTCTTTCTACTTATTTCCTTCTAGTTAAGATGTTAAATTAGGCAAGAACCAGTCAAGGTCTTTCATTTTAGGAGTAGGCACTGACTGGAAGAATTAATTACTTTGGAACAACATGAGACTCATGTTTCCTGGTTTTTGTAGGTTCATTGCTCCTATTCTAGGCAAGCCTCAACACTGGCAATGAACTATGCCTTCTGTTACTTATGTGATGACAGACTTCCTGGTTTTCCTCCTACCCTTCCCAACAGTTCTTTCAGCCTCTTCTACTGGTTCCTTTCTTCCCAATCTCTAAAAGTTGTATTGCCTCAGATCTCTCCTGGGCTGTTCTTTTTCTGTACTATCTATATGATTTCATCTAGCTCCATAGCTGCAGATAAAATCCTTAAATCCTTAATTTTTTAAAAATTTTTTTCTTTTGGTTGTGGAGAGCAAACTCTGGGCCTGGGCGTTATCCCTCAGCTCCTCAGCTCAAGGCAAGCGCTCTACCACTTGAGCCACAGCGCCACTTCTGGTTTTCTGGTGGTTTATTAAAGATAAGAGTCTCATGAACTTTGCGGTTCAGACTGGCTTTGAACAGTGATCCTAATATCTCAGCCTCCTGAGTAGCTAGGATTACAGGCATGAGCCACCAGCACCCCGCACAAATTCAGATTTTTGTCTTCAGCTCTGGCTCCTTTCCTCAGGACCAGACCTGTGTATGTGACTGCCTTCTTGAGTTCCAACATGTTCCTAGCAGAACTCATGGCCCACATATATTCAAACTGCTGCTTAAGTTTTCCTCATTTTGGTAAATGGTGGCTGCCATTCAACCAGAGAATCGCTATCCTTAATTTCTTATGTCTAGTTCATTGGCAAGCCCTACTCACTACATTTCTACTCTTGTCCCTGCACTTACCTCCTAATTAGATCTCTTCTTCTACTTTTTCCCCTCAGTAATCCATTCCTTACATTTTGGCTAACATTATCTTTTCAAGGGGTATATGAGTATTTCTCTATACCTAATTGTACTTAGAAGAATATGTCAGTTCCTTAATATGGCTCACAAAGCCTATGTGATTTGATCCCTAATTAACCTCATTTAGCCTTAAATTCTGCTTGTTTTCCCCATTTTCTCTTGTGTTCTGTGCTTCAGTTACTCTAGCCTTTGTTTTTTTTCTAGTGAGTTCTTTGTCCTTCCCTTGGAGCTTTTGCCTAAAACACTCTTTCTTCAGATCTTTACACCTTCTGATCCTTTAATTCAAGCAACTCTTATGCACAGAATACCTCCCTTAGTCACCTTCACATTTATTCTCTTCCCTGCATGTGATATCACTGCTTGATATGCTCTGATGTTAAAGAATCTCATTTCTAAAATGTGGACCCCCCCCAACAGGGCAAAGTGACTTTCTTCTTCACTACTTCACCTCAGCACTGATAATGGTATCTGGTACATGGACAGCAGTAGATAATTATTGGATGAATGGATGAATGAATGCCTCTACTTGTACATTTAGATTGTCAAACTGACCCAACTCCTAATTCCATTTTCCTTTCCTGTGCAGCCCTTTTCTGAATGCTCCTGCTGGGTTAATATTCTGAAGCACTTGATTATCTTGTCATCTGTTCAAAAGCCTCATCAACCAGCTATAACATTGCTGCCTAAACAACTTTATGTCTAACCCCAGATTTGGAATGCTTCTCATTTGTCAGTATATCCAGATCCTTAATAAATCAAGATTTTTCTATTGTGAAACTATATCCAATATCATCTCACAGTACTCTTCTTTCCTTTTCTCTTTAAGCTTTTGAAGTCACCTTTTACATGGTCCCATTAGATGTCCTATTAGCTTGGGTATGTATAAATGTCTTGTCTTCTGATCACATTTTGTTTTTAGCCCTTCATGGGTAGAGATCATCTCTTCGTCTCTCTCTACTATACAACAAATAATGGAATGTCTTTAGTTGATTAATACTGTGAAGACTGATAGAATTTTTGTTTCAGTTAAGAATTTTTCACCTCATGAATCTGCTAAAATCCATCTAGATTGTTATTGCTTATATTTAGTACACAAAGTTGATTATTACATGTGAGGGCTTTATTTGAAGAGAAAAATATTGGCAGAACATCAAGCTAAATAAGAAAAACATTTGATGGATTAAATGGTGACTCTGTGAATTCCATATACTTTTAATAAAATTGTAATCTTATTGGATAAGCAAGGCCCACACTTAAACAGCTAAAAAGCTTTTTCACAAAGTTCTTGCCAAACTGAAAGATGTGAGTGCAAATGAATATAGTACCCATTGAGTCCACACAGTGGAGTAGAGACATCTAGATACTTGGAAACCCCACGGTCATGATGATAATTTGAATGGAACATAAAAGAGTTTTTGTCTAGGCATTCATGTGACCAGTAAGTCCTGGACCAATCAGTTGACCAATCACTTCTGGCCACGAATTGTCTACTGGTTTCTTTTGTCTCCTATGTGGAGAACCTGTTGGCACTGAAATCCAGAAGTAGAAGCTGCAGGGAGGGAGTAGAGTATAAGCTGCTTCTTGCCCCCTGGGTAAGGCATGATACAAACCTACTCTATAATGTAAAAGGAAATAAGCAGTATAAACTGCATGGTTGGAATAAAACTGAACAGGATTCCACATACAACTGGCCCACAGGGAAACAGTAATTCGGGATCTCCATTACAATATCTTGTCTGATTGGCACCACCTCCTTAAGCGTTTCCCTAGGCCAGCTGCTCCACTGGGGCCGAAGCACTAACTAAGACCTGAGATCTCCTCACAGCGGTGAGTTTGGGCCCAGCTCTCTGGTCTTCCACTTCCATCCTAACCTCTAGTTCCCTGCTTTCTGTTATGTATCTTCATTCCTGGCCTTTCCTAGTCTCTTGAAATTGATGCTTCAGAGTATGCACTCAGTTTTCAAGGGTTCTGTTGCTGTTTTGTCACTAAGCACTAGTGTGCCTTTCTCTATCAGGACCCTCTATTGCCCTGGATCCCAAGATCCCATGTTTGCCTCTTTCTTGTTTAGAAAAGAGAGACTGACTGACCAAAGCAGCAGAGGGCCACTGGGAGGCATGGTTTGTCCCTGTTCTTTGCACTGGGTAGAGCCTTGTGAGTGAACGGACTAGCAGCCCTAACAGGAGCTTCACCTTGTAACGTAAACTTTCGTTAATCTAAAATAATGAAATTTGTTCTCAACAGAGGTGTGTGTGTTCATCTGGTTAAAAATAGGAACATCATACTTGGATGGTAATGAATGTGAAATGGAGCACTTAACTTCTCACACGGCACAAACGACTGAGCTGTCTTTATGGGAAATAGGTTCAGAAAGAGCTGTGGTAATAGTGTTGGGTTAATGTCAGCTCAGCATTAAATTTACATTATAGTCTTGTGAAGAAGCTCTAACATTATCTGTTAATAACCAAAGCAGTACCTGAGCTTATATATATATACAGAGAGAGAGAGAGAGAGAGAGAGACTTTCTGATTTTGCACATGAACTAACACTGCAGCTTACTGATGAAGGATCATGTGAGCTTGGAGCTTTGGTGTGTCAGAGGACTCTTTGTATGAATCAAATTCTGGTCAGTGAAGGTCAGTTTTTCTGCTCAAGCGAGAACAATGTTGTTTCCCTCCTAATCAGATGCAGACAGTGTTTGAAAAATCCAGGATCCCCACATAAATGATGGCCTGCCACAGCCTGGCCAGCTTCTCATGCAAGAAATGAATAATCCTTAATAAAGGTTCAAATGGCCCTGGCCTCTTTCTGTACTGTAATGAGTTGCTTTAATGATATACCCTTCAGTGCTTCTCAGAAAAGAAATGCTATAACATTATCTTCCCTATTCTATCTGGTTTCAAGGAAGCCTGAATTAGTCCAATCAGACCACCCTCCCATCCCCAATGTACTTGAGTGTGTCATAAAGACCACTGAAGTGAGTCTTAGTTTTGTTGAAAAACAACATTCTCTTTCTCTTCCCCGGAGATCCATGCCTCTGAGCGTGGCACTGGACTTGAAGCAGCAGGAGTCACTATCCCTATTGTTAGGCTTTAGAGTTTGCTTTAAGCACATTCCAAATTCAGTGTTATGCTTTTTGCTCTTTTTAAGTTGATGACAGAGGTGACCCAATTGTACTACTTTGATATTATTATGAACACAGCTCTTGGGCTCCTATCACAGAGGCATGTAACAAAATACAAAAGATCAAATTGTATCTGTGTGTAGTTAGAACACGTTCTTCATGACTAAATTCAATGGCATAATCAAAAGTGTCTTCTCGTAGCAGTGAGCTCATGATGGAGACCATCTTTCATGATATTTTCTTTTAGTGCTAAGATACTAACTGGGAAGGTGGCTCAGTGGTAGAGCGCTTGCCTTGCATGCCTGAGGCCCTGGGTTCGATTCCTCAGCACCACATAAGCAAAAAGGAAAAAGCCAAAAGTGGCGCTGTGGTTCAAGTGGTAGAGTGCTAGCCTTGAGCTGAAGAGCTGAGGGACAGCGCCCAGGCCCAGAGTTCAGGCCCCACAACCGGACCCCCCCCCCAAAAAAATAGAACTAATGAAAATGTCACATTGCCAGAGTAGCCCACATTAGGATTTTACTTCAAGAAGGCATGATTTGGTGAATGTGACATTGACAGCAATGGTATTAGACTTTATAGAGTTAATAAAATGTTCTAAGGAGAATATTACAGAGTTCCCATTGGAGTACATCATTTTTTTTTCTTTTCTGGTAATAAGACTCCAGGAATTGAGGAATGTTAGTGTTCATTATTTAATTATCTGCCTATCAAGGAGAAGGAGCATGTTCTTTATATAAGACTCTAGTGTTATAATACAGTACTTCCAAAGCAACAAGTTCATTGAACAATATGGTAAAATGCACATGCCTTAGGGCATTTAGAAAATATGCAAGTTGCAAAATTGTATAGCATTGATATCTTCTTCAGTAAACCAATGTGCCACCTTTAAGTAATTAAGAATGTGTGAAAAAGACATGGAGAACCACTGTGGGAAGTGAATGAGTTATAAACAGAATAGTTGTAGCATTATCACTGAAGGCTTTCCTTCCCTATCTGGTTTGGTCGAACAAATATTCTAGCAACTCTGGAATGAATAGCAACTCTGTTTACTATGACAGGTTTGATTTGTCTTCGGTGCAGCTAGGACTGCATGCTGTGTTCTGTCGTGGTGGAAATACTGAAGCAGATTTCCATTGTGAATGTGAAATTCTTTAAGCCTTACCACCTCAGTCTTAGTTCAGCCAGGTACAAGCAGAATGCTTTCCCTCCTTTGCCTGCCAGACATTGATAAATCTTGTGTCCTTCCCCCCCAAAATGTGTTTGCCATCCTAGTTTTAGAATCCTTCTCATTTCCAAGGGCTATATTTGTGCCTTTAATAAAGCTGAAGTCTTGTCTTTTCTTTCCATGTATAAAACTACTTTTTTGCTCCCACGTCCTATGAGTGTAGGCCCTGCTAGCAAAGAGCCTTTCCAAATGCAGTCATGCAGAAATTTTTATGCTAGCTTAATTGTGGGTGCTTTGAGATACAAAGTAAGCAGATACCTGTTTTGAACAGTCTTGTTTTCTCTTTTGTTAATGTACTGTATAGACAAACTGTTTAGAATCTATGCCTTCAGCCCCATTCACCTTTCGGAGTTGATTCTGCTAATATGCAGACAAAATGTGATGTCATAATTGTTCATATCCACTTTCTACCTTGGAGTAACTCTGGATAACAAATAATTTGGGGATTCGTGTGTGTGTGTGTGTGTGTGTGTGTGTGTGTGTATGTGTATGTGTGTGTATGTATGTATGCCTGTGCCAGTACTGGGGCTTGAACTCAGTCAGGGCTTGGGTGTTGTCTCAAAGCTGGCACTCAACCACTGAATCACAGCCCCACTTCTGGCATTTACAGACTAATTGGAGATAAGAATCTTGTGGAGTTTCCTGCCCAGGCTGGCTTCAAACCCTGATCCTCAGATCTCAGCCTACTGAGTAACTAAGAAACAGGTGTGAGCCACTGGTGCCCTGAGCTTGTGGAATCTTACTACATTTCTTTTGTCTGTATTATCAGAATCCCTTAGTTAGCAAGGAGATTTGGGGAGAAGTGGAAGAGTAAGAGCTTAAGAATGAAAAAAAGATCAATGTTTTCATGGATCAGTATCTGATCTTTTTGTCCCTTGGCCTTTACTGTAATTTGATATGGGTTGATGATTTTCTCTATAAAGTCATCTCATTCTGTTTGAAATGAGTTTTAAGCTAATCTTACACTGAGGAGCCTAGTTGCTAGTGAAGATTAGCACTTAATTAATATAGCCATGCTCTGTGGATCAGAGCAGGGGATGATGTGAGGGAGTGGCCGTGAAGAGCTTAGAACCAACTGCAGCACCCAGCCCAGAGCGTGGAGATACCCGAAGGAGTCTAACCTTTAACGATGAAATAGCCCAAACAGTGACCGCTGTGCATGCTGAGTGAATGAACAGGGTTAGAGATGAGGCTGCAGAGGGAAGGAAGGACTCGTTTCGGTACTTTTAACATTCAACTAAATAGTCAAGCACTTATGTTATGCCAAGTTAATTGTAGGTACTTAGAGATACAGGATAAACATATCCCTGCCCTTACAGAACTTACATCGTATGAGGGGACATAAGTAATTTTTAAGCAATAAATGACAAGAAAACTATAACAAGGCATGAGGAGGATGGAGACTCATAAGCTGGTGAGGATTGGTAATGTGGTACAAAGGCAGTGACATGACACTCGGGCGAATGAGGAGACCCCAGTCAAGTGCTACCCTGGCAAGGGGAAGGAACTGGCCACCAAGCACTGAAAGACTAGAAGGTGAACTTTTTGCAGCTACAATAGCTAAAAGAGGAGAAAGCGATAGAGGAAGTTGAAGAGAGAGTTGAAAGGAAGTTAAGAAATGATGATCATCCCAGAGATGTGTTCATCTTGGGAATATTAATAACTGACAAAGCCAACAGTGCAAGTGTATTTTAATAGCGAGACTGTAATATTTGTAGTTTTACAGACAAAGCTGAAGGCTCAGTAGAATAACTAGGAAAAATAGAGAGTCATGTCAAACAAAGTAGCAGGATGAGAGAGCTTCAAAGCATAGTGCTTGACACGTTGCTATCAAGCTGTTCTTACTGGAATCTCTCCAGTAGAAACACAAGAACATGTGTATGTGAAGTTTTTTTTTTTTAATCACTACAGTTTCCTTTTAAGTTGAAGAGAGGTTTGGGTTGGTGTTTTTGTTTTGTTTTTTTCTGAAACATCAGCTCAATCTGAGACACACATACCCCAACTTCCTCTTAACTACAAATTTGTGTTTCCCCATCGCTTGTAGGTCTCATAAAAGATATCCTACTATTCACAATAGACAAGTTGTGGAAAGCCCAGATACTCTACACTAGATGAATGGATCCAAAAAAATATGGTACCTATAAACAACAGAATTTTTCGCAGCCATTAGTAAGAATAATATTGTGTCATTTACAAGGAAATGGATGGACCTAGAACAAATGACGTTGGAGATAAGCCAAGCTCAGAGGGACAAATGGCGCATGTTTTCTCTTACATGCAGAAGCTAGATCTAAAATATACCAGGACATGATAAATTATACAGAACTCTAGGCATTCACACACATTGACTCCAAAGGAGGATACTATTAGGGGAGGAACACAAAGATACAATGCCTATGTGCATCTGATCATATAAACTAGTATGTATGGAAATGCACTCCAGGAAATGAAAGCAGGAGGGTTTTTAATTGTTGTTTTCTTTTTGTCTTATTTGTTCATTTATCTGTCTTCAGGAGGGGAAGGGGGCAACAGAAATGGAGGTACAGAGAGTGACACTCACTAGACACTATGTTGAAAATAAACTATAGAACTTGTGGGTGGGGAGAGAAGAGGAAAACTGGGGGAGAGCAAAGAAAGAGGTGACATTGTCCCAAAAGAAATGTACAATTACCTGACTTATGAAACTGTAACCCCTTTGTACATTTCTTTTATAATAACACTTTTTTCAAAAAAAAAAGATATCCTAATCCATAGCCTGGGACTTGTACTAGGGACTTTATTATTTCCTTCACTGTGGTGTGGGTGGGGGGTGATGGAGGCTTGCCAATAGCAAGCTGTGACTAAAGTCCATCTCAAGATACTACTACTTTTCAGTGGTCACAGGAACGCCAGCAAAGTCTGCAAGTGAAATTTTTTTCAAATTACTGAACTTGTGCAGTGTTTATTTACAGGAACCAAGTGATCCATAAATATGGATTTTTTTTCCATTCTAAATTCTGCTTTGTTTGAAATACAGTGAGGTATTGTGGAAACTTGCCAAATATCTAGGTCTCTCTGACACTCTTAGTTGCCAAGATGCAATTCTGAAGCCTCTGACTACCATAAAAGTTTTAATTTATTGTTGATATTGTAAATAATAAAGTCAATGGTTTATTTTTCTTTTCGCAGAATTAAGATGCTTCAGTTTCAAGGAAATAGCATGCGACTTGCCAAATCCATTGGACCTTTCTTGCGAAACCTCTCTGCCTCTAATACAACTCTGCCTGTGCTGACCTTATTTAAAAAGGTACCGAGTGAAAAATGAAAACTACTACTTTAAAAAATAATGTGTTGCTAGAAGCAGTAATACATACCTATAATCCAAGATACTTGGGAGGCAGAGACTGGGAGAATCATTCATTCAAGTGCAGCCAAGTTAAAAAGTTAGCAAGATTCTACCTTTAAATACAAGCTTGGCGTACTGTTCTGCATTATCTTTCAGTTTGGGCAGCAGATGAGCTAGTCAAAATATTTAGTTAAAAATAATTAAAAGGGCACCACCGGCTCAATCCTGTAATTCTAGCTGCTTGGGAGGCTAAGATCTGAGAATCATCGTTTGAAGCCCGCCCAGGCAGAAAAGTCTGTGAGACTCTTTTTTTTATTTTTATTTTTTGTGAACATACTGTACAGAGGGGTTACAATTACATGGGCAAGATAATGAGTACATTTCTTATCAAGCATTGCAGCCTCCTCCTTTGTTTACCCTTCACATCCCTTCCCAGCCCCCCCCCTTTCCCCCCCCCCATCTGTGAGACTCCTATCTCCAATTATCTGAAAACTGGAAGTGTAGCTGTGGCTCAAAGTGGTAGAGCAGTAGCCTTAACCAAAAAAACTCAAGGACATTGCATAGGCCCTGAGTTCAAGCCTCACAGACAACAAAGAATTAAAAAATAAAAATTAGAGCCTGGGAGTGGTAGTGAACATCTGTAAGCCCAGTTGTAAGGAGGTATAGGTAGATGGACTATGGTCTAAGGCCAGCATGGCTTTAAGTAGTAGAGCTCTTGACTAGCAATCTTGAGGCCCTGAGTCCAAACTCTAGTAGCTCTAGAAAAAAAGGTTAAAAAAGGGATAAACCTGATAGATATTAATACCCTTCAATATCTCTGCCAGCACAGTAGCAGTAATTGTTTCCTCCCGAAAAACCTCTTGGTCTCCTAGTTAGTTACAAGAGAGTAAATTAATATATCCAGTGTTCACCCTACAATAAAAATATGTTATAATATGATGTTTTGAAATGAACCACTTATAAATAAATCAATTCTTCTTATCTGCAATAGCTATGTTATATAAAGCCACCATGAACATAGAATTAGCTAGCACTAAACTATTGTTCCTATGGAAGATACAAGGTTAGGTTCCTGTGAGCCTCTGGCCACAATATTTTTGAAAACCAGTCAAATGTATAACCTCATTTTATATGCTGCTCTTTAAAATGCCTTATTTAATGTGTATTATTAATCCATTAACATGTGCAACATAATAATTCCTGCCCAAATGAAGCCTAACTAACCCACATACTTTCTCTATATTTCACTACTTTCTTATGCTTAGGAACACCAGGAAACATTCTAACACTGTGCTTTGGATAATTTTTAAAAATCACTAACAAAAAACAAAAGTGCAAAAACCATAGCATTACTCATAAGGCAGCACCCTTATTCTTAGCCATGAGGATCTTCACTATGGTTACCGCAGTGGGGCTGAAGCAGAAAGGCAACGCATTGCCTTGTGAAACGCAGTTTAGAATTGGTGCTTCTGAAGACTGAAATGTCTATCCCTCAGTAAATTTTTGTGTCTGAGGATGACCACAGAAGCACTTTGGGTATTGATTTGGGGGTTACAGATAAGTAGAAAACCCACAAAGGTACAGAATCTATAAAGAATCAGGACTGACAGTACTTATTTTCTTATTTCTAACACTATTTTAAAGCCATAAAGTGACCTTAAAAATGTTTAAAAAGCAAGGTGCTAGTGACTCATGGCTCTAATCCTAGCTGCTTGAGGCAGCTGAGATCTGAGGACTGTGGTTCAAAGCAGCCCAAGCAGGAATACCCGTGAGACTTTTATTTCCAATTAGCCATCAAGAAGCTGAAAGTGCAACTGTGGTTCAAATGATAGAGTGCCAGCCTTGAGCAAAACTGCTCAGGGACAGTACCCAAGACCTGAGTTCAAGTCCCAGGACTGGTACACACACACACGCACGCACGCACGCACGCGCACACACACACACACACGCACGCACGCACACACTAAGAGCTTTTCCTGCCTGACATTTATAATAGAAACATGGTTTAAATTATAAATTATAATATGATTGTATGTTTTACTAGCTGATATCACTTTGTCTGATTTATAATAAAAATGAACTTAAATTGTTAATTTAAACATAAAGATCTCTTCAGTTTTTTCAGAATTCGGGCATTTTTTTAAATCTAAGTTTTCTAATAACTTTTAAATATTTTTAAAAATGACTTTTTTATTTGAAATATTTAAAGTGCTTTTCATATCTATAAATCCAACTTCACTTTTGTACAATATGACAGGAAAGGTATATGAGAATCAGAAAATTAAAATAATCTCTTAAGGCTAGTTGTATTCAGTTGGCCTACTGTTCTGCACTATCTTTCAGTTTGGGCAGCAAATGAGGTAGCCAAAACAGTTAGTTAAAAATAAAAAAGACCAGGCACCAGAGGCTAATTCATGTAATCCTAGCTACTCAACAGGCTGAGACCTGAGGATTGTGTTTCAAATCCAGGTTGGGCAGGAAAGTCCATGAGACGCTTATCTCCAATTAACCAGCAAAAAGAGCTGGAAGTAGAGCTGTGGCTCAAGTGGTAGAGCCCTAGCCTTGAGCACAGAAGCTCAGGGACAGAACCCAGGCACCACGTTCAAGCCCCAGGACTGACACCAAAAATTAATTAATAATAAGGAAAAACCACTATCCATTCACTTCATATATGTATTGAACCTCATGGTGGTGTACCTAAGGCATCGCTCCTCCTTCAACAATTCACAATCAATCCACTGAAAGAAACACTTATTCTATCAGTTCTCTTCCAGTTACAATAGAAAGTACTTCCCATGGGTCTCAGGGATAGTCTGATTAAATCCATGTCCATTCTAGCTTTTCTCATGGATGACAGCTGAAGATCTCAAGTATCAGACTTTATAGAAACTCCAGAAAATTCTCCTGACTATCCATTGATTCTGATTGGCCTAGCCCAGAGCCAAGCACATGCAAGGAGAATAGAATGTCCTAATTTGAGCCTATGTCAAGTGTCCCATCTTCATTATTCAAAAATGGAATTAGCCACATGCTGAGAATAGTTTCTCTGAAACAAAATTACAACATTCTTGTTATAAGAAAGGGTAGCAGGTAATGGGCAGTCAATCCAACAAATAAAAAGGGTCATGGAAAATCCTGAAAAAAGATGTTTGGATGGCCTAGACCATAGGGTATTATTCTGTCTTGTGTCTTTCTAAAGTGTGACTCTCCTCATGGAAATACATATACTTATTTTTATATTATTTGTACAAGCTTTCTTAATTTTGAAACAGCCAAACACTGGGTTCTAGATATTTCTAAAACTTTACATGTAAGAGCAAGTTTTTGTTAATGTGGCATTTCTGCAGTTTAGCATTTGCTTTTAAGATTCTATGTTGACCTTTTGAAGTTTCACAGAAAATTTCATCATGATTGTTTTACAGTATCATAAACTGTTTTTAATCTGTTTATTTTAATGCTGATAACAATTTGAAGAGCCTAATTCTCTGTCTAGCAAATTATGGCCAATAAGACCCAGAAATATTTCCTTCCTTATTTCCAAACACAGTCTGAGCATGTATGTGTGAAGGAAGACCCTCTACTCATATAACAGCTCATCTCTTTCTGATATGTTAAAAACTGATTTTAAATGAGCATCAGTAATGCTGAACTATTCTGAGTGCATGCAAGAGAACATACAGCTAGTCCTTTATCTTAGGCTCGGTGACTGAGAATACTTTAAAATTTTATATTCCCAATCTATATTCTCCACAAGGTGGTTTAAGAGGACAAATAAATGGACCCTAAACTCCTTGCTTTTTAAGTAGAGCATTACTCTAGTATATCTGTGGATGACATTTGAAAAAGTAGCAAAATATTATGAATTGATACTATCATCATCTGGAGTGAATGATGATTTTTTTCTCTGCTTATAAAGCAACCAGTGTTTAATTCTACATGAATAGTTTATTCCTGTGAAATAAAATTTAGCTGTCAAGGTTCAGCACTTCCCAGTTAGATTTTAAGCCATCCTGTTAGTGTCAACTTTGCTGACTCTGTGAGGCCAAAGTTGAACTTAGGAAGGGAAAAGCCCTTAGATCAGTGAAAAATATTAAATACTTAAATCTGTTCTATACACAAAGGTATGTGTATTTGTGAAAGTGTATGAATGAGAAAAATCAAAACAACCAAAATGTACAGAGACTCCATCTATTATGAAATACTGTCTATAGATTTTCTGATAGTATTTTGCTTTGGAAATAAAGCAATACAATTAACTTGATAGAAAACTGTCCTTCCAAGTAAGTATAATATGCTTTTTGCTGTTCTTTTTTATGCTAAATACCATTCTTTGGGTTTAACGGCTTTATTTTTTTTCTTCCCTGTAGGATCCATGCCCACTTTGTGAAGAAGCCAAGGAAGTTCTCAAGCCTTATGAAAATAGGGTAATCTAATACAGTGTAGCTCTTATGTGTATGGGATAGGTACTATATATGGTATCAAGTACGTGCTTGGATCCTTTCTTTAGGAAAAGAGATGAAATGATTTTTCATTCAGATTTCTTTCTGTTCTTCAGAGAAAGACTTTAGTGCTGATTTCCATAAAACTCATTACTCCTAAGTGTTTTCTTCTGAACAACACTGATTTTCTTACTTTGACTCTTAATAGAAGTTAAACTAGCAGTATTCTTGCTTTCTTTAAATTTCTGGTCTCATCCCTTTTTTTTTTTTTTTCTGCAAATGCTGAATCTTGAACTCTGGGCCCAGGCGCTGCCCCTGGGCTCCTTTTGCTAAAAGTTAGCACTTTACCACTTGAGCCATAGTACCACTTCTGGCTTTGTCTGATTGATTGGAGATGAGAGTCTCACAGCTTTCCTGCCCAGGCTGGCTTCCTGTTCATGTCTCTTTTTAATCTTATAACTTCTATGATGTATTTTCTTTTTTTTTTAAATTGTGAAAATACTGTGCAGAGGGGTTACAATTTGAAGTATTTTCTTGTAGTAAATCATCATGACCTTGACACTCATATAACCAAAACGCCTGTGTCCTGATTGGCCACAGCTTCACACCTGGCACATGTTTTGTTTCACCAGGAACTGAGCCCTACTGGAAAATGTAGCAGGGATAAGAGAAGAATAGCAGGATTGGGAGGTAGGAAATGCAGTATAATGAAGCCAGCCAGGTTTTGGAAATCAGGGGCATTAGATCCTTGTGGACCTAGGACAAAAGACAACAAAACCTCTGAGCCTGAGAAACAGTCTGAGAATCAATAGATCACTGCAGTTGATGATCACGTCATGGTCTCTAAAATATGAAGCCTTAGCCTCTCCATGTTTCAGTTTATTTTACAGGAGGTGGACATCACACTTCCAGAAAACTCAACCTGGTATGAAAGGTACAGATTGCACATCCCCGTCTTTCATTTCAATGGCCAGTTTCTGATGATGCATCGTGTAAACACCTCAAAGCTTGAAAAACAGCTTCTGAAATTTGAGCAGCAAAATGCAGGAGACTGACTATTCCCTTCATGAGTTTCCACCCCCTCTGTCATTCTGATACCTCTTTCACAGAGCCCCAGGACGCTCTGAACTCAGTGTGGTACCATATAAGTGTTGCGTTTCTCTTCTGATTGATGGAAGTGCCCACAGGGGAACTGTTTCTTATGGGCTTTTTAGAATAAAAGGAATACATTGGCAGAGGGTGGATGATGGAGAGCAGTAGATGTCCATTTGTTGTATTTATTCTTCCCTTTCGTACTAATGTGGAAGTACTGCACATGCCCTGGACAGGGCTGTTGATAAGAAGGCTTGCATTCCTCCTGCTGCTCTGGAGGCTTAACCTTTCAATGAGAGAATAAATGCTTTTCTACTCAGTAGATAAAGTAAAATGTGAATTGTTAATAACTGCACAGTCAATAAAGGGATGTTTTAACGAATACATCCATATGAAACCTATTTCATTGGGATTTAATAATACTGGTTCAAAATTAAAGTTCATTTTTGTTGGGTAAAAGAGAATAATTATCCTGGCCAAAGAGACTCTATTTCAAAAAGACAAAGAAAGATTTAAACCCTTAAAAATGCATCTAAGAATCTGAGCAATGTGCTTTACACATCATGAATTGATCTGTAATATTGAGGGATGCCTATGATTGTTTTTCAATTATCGCCAATTAAGTTAATTCAACTTACTATAAGACAGCAATTTTACCAAGTCTTAATACCTGGTAGGAAATTGACTTATAACCGAATAGACATCTACAGATGAACTATTCGTTACCATTTTATTTTTAAGGTATTAAAAATGTGTATGCCCTAATTTATATTTAGGCAGATTCAACCAACTTAAGAATAGATTCACTTGGGGCTGGGAAGGTGGCTCAGTGGTAGAGCGCTTGCCTTGCATGCCTGAGGCCCTGGGTTCGATTCCTCAGCACCATATAAGCAAAACGAAAAAAGCCAGAAGTGGCGCTGTGGCTCAAGTGGTAGAGCGCTAGCCTTGAGCTGAAGAGCTGAGGGACAGTGCCCAGGCCCAGAGTTCAGGCCCCATGACCGGACCCAAAAAAAAAAAAAAAAAAGAATAGATTCACTTAAAAACTTTTCCTCTTAAAATCACATCACTGTAATTCCATCTGTAATGAAATTCTTTTATGAACTAATTAGATGCATTTGGATATTGTGAGCCACTAGAATTTAATTTAATCACTCTCATTTAGTCTTTAAAATTATGGAATACAAAACTAGTCAACCTTAGACTCTGTCCTCATTTTACACATAAAGAAAAGTCTAAAATTCAGAGTATCAGAGACTTACCCTGAGTTCTCCCAGCCAGTCAGCTGGCAGGCCAGCTTTGCCCCAGCCCCTAGTTGCCAGTGGACTAACTAAAAGGGCTTCCTTGTCTATCTCAAGTGTAGCATCTTCAGCCATCCTAGATCCAACATGAACTTGCAAGCAACTAAAGCCCTCTCAACTGACAATACAAAACAAATTTACAATTAAGTAGCAGTGTATTTCAGAAATACACTTATGAAATACATCTTATTCGATATTATAAATATTCATTGAACCCTGGTATAGGCAAGATTCTAGAAGTACCTCAGTGACCTTCACCCTTATAAAAATTCTCTCCTCTTTGAATGTAGATGGAAATATCTCTTATGTAATCACATTATGTAGCAAAAGGCAGATTATCCTAGATGGACCTGATCTGATTAATTATGGGAACCATTTAGAAGCAGAGAGTTGTGTGTGAATAGTTGAAGTATGCTCCAACTGGCCTAAAAGCAAGCAAGTATCCATTCTGTCAAGGGACTAATGAAGCCACATGGCAAGAGACCAAGTAGGCTCTACTTCCAACAGGAAAATGTGACCATGAATTCTGCCACTAATCTGCTCAAAAGAGGAGCCTGAACCCTGGATGAGAACTGCTGCCCTAGCCAATATCTTCATTTTAGTGATGCTATAATCAGCAAATCCAACTAGACCATTCCTAGACCTCTAATCCATTCTAACTAAATGATAATAAACATGTGGTAATCTGTTACACAGCTATAGGAGGATAATATAAGTCCTTACAGCACTGAGATGCAATGTAGATGGTAGGGTGCAGAAATAAGAACGGCCCCTCCCTGGTCTTTGAAACACAGTCTCTTGGGGACGAGGTGGTAAAGCACACCATCATAATGCGAGGAGAGCTGGAACCAGGAAATGGGAAATGGCACGGCAGTGGATGGGGGGAGAGTAGCCAGAAGGCATCACAGAAAATGAGTCTTCCGCTCCGTCTCAGTGATTGAACAGGAGCAGTGGAAGGGTTGGGGAGGGAGAGCATGCCATCATGAGAGAAGTGCTTTAGTACACTAGAGGGTTAGGAACAGCATTCACGGAGAGGAAACGTCAGGTGGCTTTGCACTGAGAGTAACGGCAAGGAGTGAACAGGGCAGAGACTGGAAAACGGAAGAGGCACACGTTGGAAGACCTCGGCTAGTATGCCGAGCAGCAGTCATCTCCCTTGCTTCCTGCCTTCATACCTCGAGGATATCTGACCTTCCCTGTGCCTGCCACTGTCCTTCCTGTTTTTAGGTTGCTGAGTTTCACATTCCCCTCTAGTGGTCCTGCAGGACACTAACCCCTCAGTGCCACCAGGGATACCATAGCTAAGATCACCTAGCCAGGTATCTGGGTGCCTTGCATTCCCTACAGCCGTCTCCAGGGCAGGTGGAAGGCATGTGGCCCCTAGGCCCTAGACCACCAATTTTGAAGAGTTTCAAGTATTTCTTTCCTTGTCTGCTCAGGAAGAATAGCCAGAAAGTTTCCATTTTATTCTGCAGTACTGCTCTCTTGAATGTAACTCTGCAGTTATGGTGTACAGGAAGTACAGAGAGTAAAGGTAACACAATCCTTATACAAACAATAAAGTTATGACATTAGAATTTAAAAAGAAAAAAAAGCATGCCAGTGCTGGTGGCTCATGCCTGTAAGCCTAGCTACTCAGGAGCCCAACTGCTGAGGACTGCGGTTCAAGACCAGTCTGGGCAGGAAGGTCCATGAGACTCTTATATTACTTACTTAATTACCCTCAAATAAAAGCCAGAAGTATAGCTGTGGTTCAAGTGGTGGAATGCTAGCCTTGGGCACAAAAGCTCAGGACAGAGCCCAAGCCCTGAGTTCAAACACCAGAACCCACACCAAAAACAAACAAATGCAAACCCACGATGTACTTACAAGGTATTCCAAATAAGTATCAAGAAACAATAGTGCTAGGAACTATTGGGTCACATCTAGGAGTGTTGGAGATTGGGAAGAAGATATTGAGGGGGTTTTAATTTTTTAAAAGAAATGATCACAGTCCAAAAGATTGTGCTTTGAAACCAGGAAAGTCTATGAGATTCTTATCCCCACTAAACTACCAGAAAAGCCAGAAGTGAAGCTGTGACTAAAATGATAGAGGGCTAGCCTTGAACAAAAGAAGCTCAAGAACAGTGCCCAGGCAGTGAGTTCAAGCCTTACCAAAGTGGGACTTACTAGGTATCAACTGAGGGACCTAAATGTGATTCATCAGAAAACTGGAGGCATAGACACCTGTCCTTGGAGTAGGAAGAACACAGCTCACTCTGTTCAGGGCATTCGTATGAGAGATTGCCTGGCTAGCAAGACTCCATCACACCCTGAAGCTTCTAACTTTACTGGGAAGAATGTGTGTGTGTGTGTACTAGATGTAGGCTATGCATGATGAAATTTCCATATAGGCAGTCCTCAGAAAAGGAGAAATCAGGACAATTCCGGGTTCCAATGGGTTAGAAGGAAATGTCAGGCAGGACATAGCTAGCAACAACCGCAGCCTCCCAAGAGCTCTGCAAAATGTATTGTGCTTTTTGAATGGTTACCAGGACATCGTACAGCCACAGCATTCAAATAAGAACATTCCCACCCCTCCTTATTCTTTCTGCCTTCTCCTACCCCTACTCAAGAAGGATCAAAAGCTGCCAGGCAAAGGAAGAAAGGCCTTCCTGTTCCTCTGCACTGGCCTCATGCCTGAACCTGGCTTTGCAGTGGAGCAACAGGTGGTACTTAACTTTAAACCTTCGGACTGTGACATATGGGATCTGAGGCACAAAATATGACTGAAAGTGACTGGAAACTCCTGTTGCCTGAGAATGTTTCCCAGGATTTTGTTTTTCCCCCATAAACAAGAGTAAGAAAATTCCTCCTCTGAAAATATTTGATAGGGTACTGGAGCACTTAAATAAAGATGCTTTTTGAAGGTATCCCATAAGCTAATGCTTATGCCTAATTTTGTTAACCTACAAATCTTCAATAAAGGTGCTTAACTCTTACTTGATTGAGGAGTAGAGGCCATGTGACTGAGACCTAAAGATGTTTAGCAATCCCTTTGTTATAACTGGCGAAGTGAAAGGCAGATACCTAGAAACCTAACATCTGCGTTATGTTTTGCCACAGTTGACAAGTATCAGAAAACGTGTCACTTATTGTAGTCATTTTAGCAGCACATACTTTCCCTTTCTGAAATGATATTTGCATAGATGGATCAATTTGTCCTTGTGTAAAGATGGCTTGACACTAGAAGCTTATCATCTACCCACAGAAGAAAAAGTGATACAATCTTTTATTTTTCCTCCTCCTCAAGCTCGCCTTAAGAACTGAATGAACATCGAGTCTGGGACTTCCTCCATTTCTTTCAGATGTTTCATAACCCTATAATGGAGCAACAGCTTTCACCTGACTTTTGTTTTGTTTTGTCAGGAAACAAGAGTTCACCCAAACCAGGTTTTGTTGGTTTTGTTTTCATCAGCAATCTTAAGGACACTCACTGACTGACAACACAAGTCACAATATGGCCAGGGCTTTAATAAGTACAACTGAAATGCCATTCGAAACTGACTGAGACAGCGCTGTTCTCACGGTGCTGCTTTCTCTCCTCTTCTCTCCTGCTGACCAGCTCCCCTGCTCACACACAGTATCTGCTTCCTCATGACCACAGCCTGCTCATGCATGTAATTCCTTGGGAGCTTTCTGTTCAGCAATACAGTGCTCTGACCAGCTTCAGGTGGCTTCTGTCGGTTCCTTTATTCTGAAATGGCAAACAGCCACTCAAGTTATAAATTGGCTACCCAAGCCTACAGAAGCAGTGCCTTTGGGACAGATGCCAATCCCTGGCCCCTTTGTCTATGTGGAGGCCAAGGTCATGTGCTATGCAAATCCATCTGCCCATCAGAGACAGAACAGGGCAGTACTTTTGATACAAATCCAAAATTTTAAAAGAATGGCATTCTGATATTCAAGAGAAACCAAGAGGAATGGTGTGGTAAATCCATTTATATCCTACTCCATGGGAGAAAAGAGGATGTGAACCAGGAAGTTAGGATTAAGACCGGGGTAGGCAGAAGTTCATGGCTTACTAGACTATGGGAAGGACTGTGG